ACACTGAGAAAATAAATGTTTGGTATTTGTAACTACAGTCACACAGTGAAAGAATTACAGTCATGAGATGCAATTTTTGTAGCAATAGTTACTGTAGCGTTAATGGCGATAATCTTATATGCATATTGCCATTATTACATTTTTGTTACAACAACAGGAAGATGTAATTGTCACGCCGTCATCAATTCTAATTTTAGTGACATTAACCATTTTTTCTCTCAGTGTACGTTAGACAAATAATTTTGGACACTTTAGAGCGACATTGCAGCCTGTATTAATAGTCGTTATTTGAGACTTGTAAGTATCTCCTACTTACAATTAGATCTGAATTTAGAGTTAGATTTGAGTTTCCTATTTGAAACGTATAATATGACGTTACATTGCAATCGCGATTCAATTTTGAAAAACTCATATCTAACTCTAAATCCAAATCTAATTAGCTCACTTGAGACTATTTCAAGTAACGATTGTTAATACAGGCGCATATGACATTAATACATGAAATTCTCGCGGATATATATTCACGCGTGATTTGCGGTTGAATGTGGAACGAATGAACAAATAATGAATTGCATAGTGAAAGAATTATTATCAGAAGAATCAATTTTGTAGCAAGTGTAGTTCTTCTTTTTGTTTTAACAAAGATGTAGTAGCAACATTATATATATACAATATAGTATTACATATATAATACTACTATATTGTTATTACTACATTTTTGTTAAAACAACAAAAAGATGTAGTTGATGCCGAAAATAAATGTCATTTTAATATTGTTATCCATTTTTCTGTCTCAGCGGAATGTTTGACATTTTGGAACGAAATCCTTACGGATATTTATCTGCATACAAATCGCGGTTGAATGTAAAACGAATAATCAAACAAGACAAGGGAGTTCTCAGTGACTAGGGAAGAAGATAAGCGGACAAGAAATTCCAGTCGCGACCAAATAAAGCGAGGAAAGTGCTTCGAGTGCTGTGCGTAACTGTGCGTGCATGCGGCAGGTACGCGAACACCGGCAGGTATGCGATAATCGTGGATGTATCGAATGACACGAATTCATCGTGTTTCACATACGTCTTACGAATGTACTTCTATATCGCACACATTTCGTTTCGGCTTTGGAAAAATTGCGAATCGCGAGACAGCGGAGCTATGATAGTCGCGAAGGGAGACACTTTCTTACTTCCGCAGAGCGGAATAAATTTTTCCCGAGTGAAAACTGGAAACGTTTGTATAATTGTTTCTTTTCCTTACACGCACCGTGGACGTTCGGTGATAAAATCGAGATATGAAGTCAACAGTTCCGAACAGCTTAGTGGAACACCTAAGAAACGAAGATTAATGGAGAGCGAGCGCTGATTTTTCCGACGAGAACGTCATGATCCAGCGACACGGAAAGCTCTCGAGAACATCGAAAACGTAAACATGGAAGAAAACAGCAGTTAATAGGTTTCCAAACTCACTCTGCTCTCCGCTCACCAAATCATTTTCATCTCGAACAGAGGCTTCATCGGCGAAAGAAGTGTACGCGGTACAGTGGCAAATAAATGAGACGGCAACGCATCTCTTCCCGCCAGTTATTCGCGTACGGGCTCGACGTCTACGTGGCGATGCACCGATACTGAGAGACTCTCCGTTCGTACGCGACAAATAGGAAATTAAGTGACAAACACGCGACACGGCAGCGGCGGCGCGAGCTCTCGGCTCTGCAGCCTCTTTTATATGTGTCACCTGCGTCCAGGTGCGAGAACGTGCGGGCGAGCCTTTGGAAAAGTAACACGAGGCGATTCTGACTGATGGCGTCGAGCTCGTGAATATGTAACAGTGTAGAAGAGTGGTGCGATGGCTCGCTCGCTTTTTCCTCATCATCGTCATTTCTTCCCACCATTTTGCCCCGATCGTATAGCTCCTTCTAAATCAAATCTCAAAATGGATGCTCGCGCCGCCGACCGTGTCGGTGCTCCCCCCAGCTGCGTATGATGCCATTGTTTCTGACTTTGATTAGTTTCTAGGTTTCAGCTGTCGCGTGACGCGCTGTCCGCTCGAGAACGGTCGATTGATTCGTCCGCGATGCTCGAAAGACCAGCGAATTAAACAGAATTTACTCCAGGAATCCTAAATTTCCTTCATCTGCTTGATGTCATAAATCAGCTTCGAGAACTCTGGAATTTTATTTGACAATTTATCTACACGGAGAAAATTTCATAAGTAAAAATTACGTTAAGAATATGTTTCTTTTCGCAACATTTTTTGCAAAGAAGCTGGATTATGAAGTGAGAAAAGTCGCTTGAAGTGAGAAGGCCGATAATAAGTGCTGCTAAGCTCCGAATCTGTGAATATTACTGAACTACTCTTGTAATGTTCGACGTGTGCATCCTAAATCTATATATATATATATATATATATATATATATATATATATATATATATATATATATATATATATATATATATATATATATATATATATATATATATATATATATATATATATATATATATATATATATATATATATATATATATATATATATATATATATATATTAAAATTTACAAGTATAAATAATAATACGTGTGATGCAACGAGTTATATCTTAAAATCTGCTACATTCATATTGCAATATTCGTTATAAACGTAGTATTCCCCTATTAAATATAATTGCACAAAAATTGTCAAATTTCTTCTTTATTGTAATAAAATTTGCTTATCTTGTATAAAACACTCGAGCAATTGCAATAATTTTATAATAAAAAGTCAAACGTAAATAATAAATATCTTTTAAATATATAGTGTAATCTCAGTCATAATCTCTCTGTGTGGATCTGAGATTACAAAAACTCGATTGCAATTTTTACTATAACATTTTCTCCGTATATTATTGATTTATTAACGCTGTATATTACGCGTTTCTCGACAGAGCGTGAAATAACGAGGATTATCGTAACATACACACACGATGAAACGAAGTCCGCGCATAAGTTATACTCGGCGCACGAGTGTAAGTAACTGCCTGGGAAAATGTAGAATTCAAATTTGCGGAATATATATTCTCGCGTCTTGCATATTTCTCTCCGTTATTCTCGTTAATTCGCGTGTCCCTCAAATCGCTGCGAAGCTAACTGACTCAACCTGTTCGTGAAATATTAATATATGACGGCGATAGCTCGAACGGAAACGTAAAGTCCCGTAACGATGGTATTTTTTTTTATGTTCGTAGTAAAAAGGTCAATCTGAAGGGGGCGAAGTCGACTAGAGCGTCCGGGTGAGATTTATTCGTACCCAGCGACGGCATTACGCGCATCGCGAGGCAGCCTTCAAGGGCCCTTTTTCTCTTCCTCTCCTTTCCATTCTCTCGTTCTCCCGCTTTCTCCTATCCTTCCTCGTTCACTTGTTCGCTTATGTAACATCGACTGTACTCTAAAGTTCTGTTTAATATATGTACTACGATAATTACAGTATTGTTACTCGGCTTGGCTTGACTATGCCAACGCGCGTTCTTCTTATTTTCACGGCGATGTACACAATAGGTGAAAAAGTCTTTAGAGGAAAATAGGTTCTTTAGTAAATTGACAAGTAGATAGATTCGTGTTCGTGTACAGATCTGTCGTGTATGTAGGCGTAGATGTGTGTGGTTTATGTGTGCGCGCGGTCTCGCGCGCCTATGTGCGTGTGTGTACGTGTGTGTATATGTGTGTGTTATGTGTTCGTGTAAGTAGGTGTACAGTCGAGGAGAACACGGTCCTAGACTCACCCTACGATCCTCTTTCCCCGTTCCTTTTGCTCCCCATCGTGTTCCCGCGTTATATCTCTACGGGATGTTCCGTCTCATAAAATCGGCACGGCGATCTCTTAAACCAGGAACGATTCGCAAACACGTCTCCGTTCATTTTCCGGGGAAGATACATACGACGCGTATACCATGTATTCTTTTGCATCCCCTCTGACGTGTGCGTCGAAAGAAAAGGTACATTTTCTGTACGGGGACGTGTATTCCTTGAAGTGTCACGAGATTTTTGCGATTCTGATACAACACGTTCCTCGATACTGAAGGAAATTCAACAGAAACAAATCTATTCGACTCGCTGCCGTCCAACTGCGCCGTTAAATTCCCAGCAAGCGATTGAACGAAGAGGCACAGTTTACAGAATAAGCAAGAAGAAGTGCAAATTATAGGAAGAAACGCAACTCCCAATGCTCAAAGAGAGGGATGCGCGAGATGCAAAAGAAACACGGTCTCGGGTGTGTACGCGTTGTACGTGTTCGTACAGCAAGACTACAGCAACACTACACCTCGGATCGTTACGTCCTCGATATTACATACATATCCTCCCGAATCCGGCGGATATCGACACCGACTACGTGAGACAGAACGCGCAGTATACGCGGCCCAGAGTTCCAGATTGCATTCCCGCGCGAGTTCGCCCACTCCCGACGCGATCGCGTCGGCTCTCGGAGCGGCCGTCGTAATCTCAGAGAGGGTCGCTCCGTCTGGCGGCCATTTTCGCCGCTCTGGAGGCCAAAGCGCCCAAGGAGCACACCAGACCCGTCAGCGTTTCCCAGAATGTTGTCCTACGTCGTTTGTGCGTCGCTTGACCCACGTAGCCCAGATGATAGCCGGCATACCGATCGTTGCTGGTGGCGGATGCGCGGCTTTCATAGAAGACGCCGTTGCTGGACCTGGGTTGCTGTAGGATGCTGTGGCGATGCTCCGGACCGCCGCGATCGACGCTCCTCTTGGGCGAGGAGATGCTGCCGCTGCCACTGCCACTGCCACTGCCACTGCCGCTGCCACTGCCGCTGCCGCTGCCGCTGCTGTGTCGATGTTGTTGATGCCGTTCCTCGTAGAAATGTTGCTGCAGCTGCACGTTGCTCAAACGCCGGTCCATTATCCTGACCAGGTTCTGATGCACCCGTTGATCGTCCTCCTGCACCGTCGCCGGCAGTTGACGTTGGCAAGCAGCAACGACAACGCCGGCGACTGGTGGCGTCGGTGACAGTAACTCGTGTTCCACTTGTCAGGCGTATTCGGTGTCGCTGGACGCCGATCGCTCGAGGTGAGTTGGATGGCTCATCGAGTGGTGCTGCTGGTTGGAGTGTTGTTGTTGCTGCTGCTGATGCTGTTGCTGCTGCTGCTGCGCTTGGGCGTATGCCAGGCTCTTCTGGTAGCTGAAAAGCTGCCGTTCCAGGCTGTAGTTTTCCGCTTGCAGCGACGCGATTTCGCGGCGCATCTGCTGATTGTGAACGCGGCATACGTCGTCGTATTTGTGATAGGTCGCTTGGAAGAGCAGATGACTCTCGTTCCACTCCAGCCGGACCTTCAGCTGACCCTTGTCCGTGAGGAATGGACAGTGATTATCCTTCACTTCGTTCATGTCTAGGCTAGTCTCCATGATGATACCTTCGTCGGCGGACTCCTGAGCGTAGTAGCGGCTGAACGGTGCGCCGGGCAGTCTGATCGCCACGAGGTTTGGTCCCTCGCTTTTCAGCAAGTATGCCGACCAACTGACGTACCTGCGTGGACAGAATCGTTCTCGTAGAATACTCATTATTTGGGAGCAAACACTCAAAATACAAACAAGTTTGATACATTAAACGAGAAATCATTGGAATGTTGGGTCACTATAAAAAAAATTCAGATGGCCTCGTTTCATGATGGATAAATACGATCGGATTGATACTGACATTCAGGAAAGATCTCAAATACCATGATGCATATTTTAATTGCTTTTTTATCGTGTTTTCTTATTAGGTGTACAACTTTGCTTCCGCTGTTTTCCTATAGATGGCTTTAGCGGTAAGTGGTGGTCGAAATAAATAGATCATAGACGTCATACAATAAACTTGGGCATCTGTCAACATAACCCTATAGAAACATTAGTCGATTTGTGTCTGCATCATAAAGTTATTCTCGATTGAAAATGTCAGTTTACGAGCCAAATTCTCGTCATTTGCGGGAGGTTTTAATTTTCTGCTTCAATATGAAG